TGATATCGTATATTGCGCTTCCTCGACTATTACCATAATCATAGTGCCTCTCGATGATAGCGGCGATCATTATGATTTTCAGTCGTCAAAATAGTTATGACACAAATACCTCTTTTTCATGCAACATTATAGGATAAGTATATAATCTGGATATAATACAAGTATCTATGATGTTCTAAAAAATAGAAAGAACTGTCGGATGTCGACATCTAAATTTATTATTAAAATTTATTAAAACTTATTATTATTATTATAAAAGTGACTTATATAAAATTGGAAATTGACGTGAAAGTTTGGAATTTGATTTTTTATGCTTTAACTCTAATTGATTCAAAAGCGTTGATATATTTATGTATTTTTATCATACAAATGCATATGCGATATTATCATAGAAAACAGTATTAAAATTTTAATTCATTTAAAGTTAAGTAAATTGTCATTTCTCAGTTTTAAATTTCAGATATTAATATTACAATAATAAACTATTTATATGAAATACTCAAGTTTAAAAAAATTAAGAATATTGATCAATCATATTTATTATATATTAATTTTTGTAAACTTGAATATTTCATGTGAATGATTTATTATTGTGATATTAATATTCGGAATTTTCTTTACAGTTGAAGGATTAAATGAACTGAATTCGAACAAAAACGTTAGAGTGCAACTGTTTGTGATTTCCTCGGCAGCATCCGTGTTTCTTCATTAAAAAATTTTTTTCACATTTCGATTGCCATCATCATCTACCTCCAAGAGGCGTCTTCATCTGTTAATTGAATCAGTGTTGCCGGACGAGCGCTATGCGCGGCGGGTATTCCCTTATATTCCGTTTTATCCCGCGGCTTCACTCCGCGGCCGTTCTCCACGTTTGGAAGGTGGATATCGCGGTTGTCGCTTATGCCCGCGGGGCGTTAAGATTAAGGCGGCGATCTCGCGGAGTGCCGGCATGTCGTCTTTTACGGCGGCGACTTGCTGTGAAACCGTACGCCGATTCTCGATGGCTTTGCGCCATCACTCCACAACCCCGTGGCGAACCTTAAGCGACCGACGGACTCCGTGCGAGTCCTGGCGGGTTATCCGCCTTCTTCGCAGACTCGGTTCTATGCTTCGTCGTTTAAAGCCTAAGGGTTGAGCCTCTCTCAAAAATTGCGTCCATAAAAGAATACATATTTCGTTAAAGAAATCAGTTTTGCGCTTGTGAATATCGGTTTTTTTCTACCTTTTAATCAAATAAAGCATTTCCAATTTGATTCTTTAAATTGTTTCATGTTTATTTGCTGTAATCTCTGCGGGCATCAATTTGACAGATCGTATGTTAATAATGTGTCAGGGAAAGATGATTGAAGATGATTACTGAAGAAATGAAAGTATCCTTGCAAAGTAATTGGTTCGTTTGTTTCTTCATGTTAAATGCGGCCCTGCTCTTATAGATTGAATGGTCTTAAAAACTCGCGGACACTTAATGGTATCCTTATGCACTTACAACAATATGGTTAATTGAACAGAATATTCTTGGTGCTTGGCTTCACAGCAGGTCTATTATGCGAATTACGACATGGCCGTTTCTCGGCATGACTGCGGCGAGTTCCGCATATTTTTCTGAGCCTTATGTTGAACATAATAACGTTATTATTTAGTACGTCCAAAGCAATCCTCCTCCAAAAAAATAAATATGCTCTAGAATCAACATTACAGAGCAGAGAAATTTATTTTTAGTTGGCAGTAAATCAAAGTCGGCTTTACAACGTAGTTCATAAAGTTTCTAAAATTAGCTCATTCCTGAAATCGCCTTATACCGCTAAACGCTAATTAATTAGTCATGAGTGAATTCTTAGCTAGCTTAGCATTTTGACGTTTTAGAGACCCGTCTTACTTGTTTTTGCGCTATTATTACAAGACTCATTACAAAACATTGTTACCGGTAGTCGCCGTTAATAAGCCTATCTAATTTAAAATGCGCCTTAAGAAAAGCGGTAAAACGAGATCTTCATGGTTCGCTTAAGCTTTCACTATGTGACAATAAAATTCTTAAGTGCCTTGTTGGAAAAGTCGTGAGAAAACTGTGGCGCATCTTTGATGTTCCAGCAACGCTGGAAAATGATCGCCTATCGCTACGATCGCGGCTGCGAAAACTCGCAAACCAGTTTGCGCGCGAATTCGTTCCACGCGCTCGAGTGTACATTTTCTCCGAACCGTGATCATGTTTACTATTTTTTTTCCTATTTTCGCGGTCGGAGAAGCGCTTGATCCCTTCAGCGAGTGCGACACAATGAAATTGGATTAAAGTCGCGCCCTTGGTAGCTTCTCGCCGGCTTCTCGTTCTCTTTCCCCGTAGCGATGCGACGGTCGAGAGAGAAGTTTTAACGATCTACCGCCGTACAAATTGTCGAGATACTATCATCTCCCAGCGGGGAGAGAAAGGGAGTAGAAAGAAGACGCGGATAGGATGATACGACGCGAGCGAAACGAAGAGAAAGAGGGATGCTGAGAGGGCAGCGGGGGGAGAGTGAGGCAGCAGGGAGAAAGGAGGAGATGCGAGGGAAGATTAGGGCGGCATCTCCCCACGGCGAGCTCGGTAACAGAAACTGCTGTTGGTGATGTTCCTGATGCTGCGCGGCGGCAGCCGCATTTTGCCGCTGCCGCCGCGTTTCGCTGCCGCCACTTCGGGCTGCCCCCGGATCTGACACGATTCGTACGTTGAGGATTCTCAACAGTAAATTACAAAATATGCTAAGCGGCCGATATAAATCAAAAGTGGGCCCGCGCGCGCGTCCGTGGATCCCGAAGGGTGAGAGAGAGAAAGAGAGAGAGAGAGAGAAGGCGAGTCCTTTACCCGTTGCCTTCGTCTCCCGGATTCCACGGCGCAGGGGTAAGGGCCCTCTGCCGCGTCCTCCGTAGCCCGGCTAGGCCCCAAATACAAGAAGTGTAGACCCCCATCACGAATCGGGAACGAGGGAGAGTCGCTCTTTCTCATTCTCGTGCGGCACGCAGAACGTCGGCCGCGATGGTGCAGTTTGCAAACCGAGCAAATGGACCGGAAGACTCGTACGCGAGATATAAATAGGCTCGACTGGAGAGCAATATATCTACCCAACTAAACTCCACTAAATTGCTTCGGAATAACGCTGAAGAGAGGCGATGTAGAATCGGGAACGCTCATGGTTCCGCGCGAGAGAGAAAGAGAAAGAAAGGCCCCATTTATCGACGGCACGCTGTGCACTCATTTAAGTGCGAAAGATTTATGAAATATCGATAAACTCTCCCGAAGAATTGTGATTGCCGTTCCCTCGAAACGTAAGTATAGTCTTCGTAAATGAACAGTGCGTGGTAAGTGTTTCATTTTGTGCCTCTTTCTTGCGGCGTCAATAATGTTATAATTTAGCGGTGTTAGAAAAATATCTAACTTTGTGTCCTTAATTTTTTCTAATTAGCAAAGATGTGTTTTCATATAATTGTGTACTGTATTTCGAAGAAGGACAACACATCGTCAATATTATTTTGCGTATCTCTTTTCTCTACATTTATTTCGCAATTAAGATAAAAGATGACTTAAAATTATTTAAGAAAAATATCTCCACTCGATAAAATACGAATCGTCTAATTAACGCGTCAAACATCTCTTCATGCCGACTGATTTTACACGCGATTTTCCCGCGTAATCGGCCGCGGTAACGAATTATGCTCAACGCGAAGCACTCAATTACGTAGTCGAGACTATTAATCGAGATACGGTGAAACATGAATAGCTAATAATGCGTGCGCCCGCACGACGAGCCGCGCTGAAAGTGTTCGCTGCAACATCGGGACACGAGACTATCTGCGGATCTACGCTAATCGAGTCCTCCCGTTGCACCCGGTGCCTAGCCGTCACGCACACGCACGCTTATGGATGAACCGCGTGCTGCACTGCCGCAGCCACACCAGTGCGCTTCTAAATTAAATGCATAGAGTGAGGAAGAGCCGCGCGTGAGTGCATAAAATTACATACGCTACGTGGATGAACGGTGCGAAAGATGCTTTTACAGGGTTGCTACTAAGATCACGTATTTCTATTTTCAAGCCTGCGATAATCTAATCTCAAGTGTCTGTTTCACATAAATTATTTAATATATAAAAATAATAATTGAGGCAATAATAATCGAAGAATTATAAAATATAAAATTTGTACGTGGGAGTAATTATAACATTTAAAAAATTAGAAATGCTTCACAAAACCGTTTTAAGGCTCTGATAATTAAAAAAAAAATAATTTTTGCTATTCCAAATTTTTAGTAAATCACTCTTTTCTCCCAAGTTTCGTAAAAGTTCCAATCAATCTTAACGGAGAATCTCAAGAACGTGAATATTCCTGAATTATTTAAATGCGCGAGAAAGGTGTGCAAAGTCTTCCTGCATTCGCGCGAGCATGATTATATTCTGTGGATCGAGCCATGGAAAATCGCGATTCTTTCCCTTGCCTCGCGTATGATTACGAAGCTTACATGCGCGGATGAGAATCTGAAATAGCGAGGTATCTCCGCGAAGCTCCGACGTGAGAATGTGTTGCGTAAAGCGTGCATAATAACGGCCGTTGTCTTCGGTTCATTTTTATCTGATATTAATGACATTTAGAAATCATATTTTATTATATTATAAAACATTTGAGAATTTAAAAGATACTTATTTTTGTGCGTCACAAATTAATAAAGAAAGTATTGATAATTTAATCTCGATAAGTATAAAACTCTAGATTATACTTTTATTTCTTGCAACTAATACACAAAATTAGTTTACCAGAAATATTCACAGTTACCGTATAATATATCATATATTATAGAACAGGTCGGAATTATTCGATTACAGGGCTATTTTTATCAAAATAAGAGACAGAGCCTATGCTCATTGATATGATTCATGGTGTGGTCAGCGGCAAGGCCAGTAGTTTTAAGATATATAGTGCGTAAGTAATGATTAATTCTAAAGTAGAATGTAAAACTGAGGTATAAATCAATACTCACGTGGACCAAAGTTCATGCGTAGGCGGTAGCTTAACATCCGCCGTCGTTTTGTCGGGCAACTTTGTCGGGTAATATTCATAGACGTAGGACGCAGCGGGATCGTCGCCGTGGCTAACCACCGCCGACACTTGGTGCTGCTGTTGGAGATTGAGCATGGCTGCGGTCGCTACCGAGAGCGGATGCTCGCAGTAGGCCCGCCAATCACCCTCCATACCCTGCACCTGCACCTGCACCGCGGCAACCCTCTTATGTACTTCCGGATCGGCGCTCTCGGCACCGCTCTGCAGGGACTGTGCCGCTGCCTCCTCCGCGCCCAGCTCCTCCTCTTCTTCCGGTTCACGCTGCCCGGATACGTAACCTGGTTGTTGCTGTTGCTGCTGCGGCTGCTGCTGTCCGTCGTCGCTGACGACGGTGCCGTTCGTATCCTCTTCGCAGCGACTGCGTCGCCTGTAATCAAACGAAACAAATCGTTTAATTGTTGAAATCACAAATAACCGACTTTAGACAGTTTTCACGCAAATCGTGAATAATGAATATTCGATTGCAATAATAAGGTAATGTGAATACATTATTTTATCTTATCTGAGAAAGTATGCAAGAAAGTATATGAGAAAGTATTATTGCTTATAAATTTATCGATACTACCGCGTTTAAATGCGGCATAAAATATAATTATCTCGTTTCTGCAGAGAGAATGCAATAACTAATTATCTCTCCAGTAAAGATATTGCAGTACGAATTGTGCCTAGCAGCAGCGTTTTATAGATCTATCAAGAAAAGGAAGCGTGTCGCTTGCGATCGACAATACTCGTCGTCGAGCGACCGATTCCCGCTGCTGACGATGACCATAAGCGTGCGACATGATGGCGTACTTCTTAAGAAAAAAAAAAAAAAGATTTGCCCGAAGGTCACAGTAATGAATGTGCCACGGGGATAACAGTTAGAAATAACCAGGCTCGGTAGAATGTAATAAATTACAACGGACCCATCGAATTTATCAATTAGTGATAATCGCGATGCATAAGCCGCGCTGATGATTCCTCAATTTAGCAATGACCACCAGCGGTGGAAGTGCGTTTTGCGCGACGCATGGTTGTGCCGGTAATTTATCGCCGCCGCTGTGTACACATCGCGATACCTAATCGCGCTGCGCCAGCGCGCGGAAGAATATGCATACGCGCTTTCGACTTCGTGCCTACAGCCACCTGGATATTTGTCACCAGTCGTTACTTTCCGTCGAAGTAATACTTACCTTCCGGCTGCGGTAGAGACGACCCGTGACAACCATGAGATTCATTGAAGTGCGGGAGAATGTTCCGCCGTTACAAAGTATGTTTAAGCTAATTGCACGTGTTACGTCGAGTTTCGAACGATTGTTCGTATGTTGATTTTCGAAGTCATATCTACCTGTAGGCGCGTGAATTTTTATCCATTTCTATTCATGGCGCAGTTTTTATTTCAAAATCTGCATTTTGACGCTGAGATTTTTTTTGCTTTACGGTACGCGCATCACCTGTCTCTGCGCGCGACAGGGATAAACTTAATCGCAGATCGAGAGAAATCTCGCGCACTGCTACCGGGTCGGAGCAGATGACGAGGAGGACGCGGAGGAAGGGTTACGTTCGTAAATACGTATACATGCACGAAGATTAATTATTATAAACCCCTGCCTGTTGCCTGCAGTCATCAATTTATACTCCTCTCTCGCGCATCCTAATTCCAATCCCGATCCCGATCCGTGAGTCGCGCTAAGGAATAAAGGCTCATCCTCTCTAATTTATGCATGTCGAATCAATCTCCCTCCTTTTACCCTTCTTCTACCCTTTTCTTCCGTCGCCTCTCTCTTCCTCGCATTACCTACGTCTCCTACTCCTTCTACGTTCCTCCTCGTGCACCTGGACAACCGTCGCCCCTGAGAGAGGGAAAAGAGACAGAAGAGAGGCTAGCCACCCCGATAATGAGGACCCGAGTTATCCTGTGCAAATATTTTCCTCGGCGGCTGTTTGTACAGGCACGAACGAACGGGCTG